TAACTTCATGAACTGCCGGATGAAATCCGGCACTCCTGTTCGGGATGATATGCTATTGATCATAAGTCACCTGAATGAGATTGAGCTCATGGGAGCTGAAATTGATGGGGAGACTCAGGTGGATATGATCCTAGAGACTCTCCCGGAGATGTTTGACAACTTCAAACTCAACTATTCGATGAACAAGTTGAACTATTCACTCCCAGAACTCATGAAGGAGCTTCAGACTGCGGAAACCCTACTGCTTAAAGGCAAAAAGAGGAATGGAGAGGCAAACCTTGCTGAAGCAAAGCCTTCCACCTCTGGCGCCAAGAAACAGAAGAAAGTCCGCAACAAGAAGAAACCGGCTGGAAAGGGCAAGAACACTGCGAAGGTGAACAAGAGTAATGACAAATGTCACCATTGCGGAGTAGCTGGCCATTGAAAGCGCAACTGTCCTACTTACCTCAAGGAGTTAAAGCTAAAGGTACATTACTTGTTACCGAAGCCTGTTTTGTGGCTGACTCTACTTTTTCTTGGATTGTAGACTCTACTTCCTACCGAAGCCTGTGTTGTGGCTGACTGTACTTTTTCTTAGATTATAGACTCTGGAGCCACTAATCATGCTTGTTGTTCTCTAAAGGGGTTCAGGGAAAGCAAAAGGCTTAGCAAGGGCAAGTTTAACTTTCGCTGGGGGAACGGAGCATCAGTATCAGCAACATCAGTTGGAAGTATTAAATTAGTTTTTGAAAATAGTTTCATTGTTATGAACAATGTTTATTATGTCTCGGTTTTTGGGAAAAACCTTATTTCTATAGCTCGTTTGGTTGAGCAAGGATATTCTTTAGGATTTAATAATGATGTTATTCAAATTCTTAAGAATGGTTTCATGATTACTTCTACAGTCATGATAAACAATCTGTTCTACGTCAAACCAATTATTCCAACGATTTATGATACTGAATTGAATAATGATTCAATTAGGGATAGTAAAAGATTGAGGTTAGACCCAACAGATCAAACCTATAAATGGCATCTACGTCTTGGACATATTAGCCTTGACAGGATAAAAAAGTTGGTAAGAGACGGTCCCTTACAAACCTTAAGTGTAGGCTCACTACCTACATGTGAATCCTACATAGAAGGAAAAATGACCAAGAGACCCTTTTTAGCAAAGGGTAATAGAGCTGATGAATGCCTAGAACTCATACATAGTGATGTATGTGGGCCATTTAATATCCAAGCAAGAGGAGGATATGAATATTTCATAACCTTCACAGATGACTATTCTCGTTTTGGTCATATTTATCTAATGCGTCAAAAGTCTGAAACCTTTGAAAAGTTCAAAAAATTCAAGGCCTTGGTGGAAAAACAATTAGACAAACAGATCAAAACACTACGATCTGATTATGGCAGTGAATACTTGCTAGGAGAGTTCAAAGACTTTCTTAAAGAAGAAGGCATATTTTCTCAACTGACTGCGCCAGGTACTCCACAGCAGAATGGTGTGTCAGAAAGAAGGAACCGAACTCTATTAGATATGGTTAGATCAATGACGAGTTACTCATCCCTTCCAGATTCCTTTTGGGGATATGCTTTGGAAACAGCGGCATATATTCTGAACCAAGTTCCATCCAAAGCAGTGCCTGGAACTCCATATGAGAGATGGAGTGGCAAGAAGTCATCTCTTGGCCACACCAGAATATGGGGTTGCCCAGCACATGTGCTTAGAAAGAAGACTGGTAAGCTAGCCAGTCATTCAGAATTATGCCTGTTTGTAGGATATCCTAAAGGGACAAAAGGCTACATCTTTTATAGTCCTACTGATCAGAAAACATTCGTTAGCACGAATGCTCATTTTCTGGAAGAGGATTTTGTGAAGAATATGAAGCCTAGAAGCAGGCTTGTACTTGAGGAATTGACTGGTAAAAATGTTCAGGTAACATGTCCACGTTCTATTCCTGAACCGATAACAGATGAACCACAACAAGAACTAACACCAATAGAGCCTCGACGTAGTGGGAGGGTTGTGAGACAACCAGATAGGTATATGGCTTATGGAGATGCATTGACTGCAGTCTCAGATTTAGACGTTGATGAACCTGTCTCCTACTCGCAGGCTATGGCAAGTTCTGAAGCAAACCTATGGCATGAAGCCATGAATGCTGAAATACAATCGATGTATAAAAATGGCGTATGGACTCTGGTAGATCCTCCTGAAGGGGTAAAACTCGTAGGGTGTAAATGGATCTACAAGAAGAATAGGGGTCCAGATGGGAATGTAGAGACATTCAAAGCAAGACTAGTAGCCAAGGGCTACACCCAGAAAGAAGGAATTGACTATGAGGATACCTTCTCTCCGGTGCCTATGCTTAAATCCATCCGCATTCTTCTATCCATTGCTGCTGCCTTAGATTATGAAATCTGACAGATGGATGTGAAGACAGCTTTTCTGAATGGCAACCTGGATGAGCGCATTTATATGGCACAACCAGATGGATTCATTGAAAAGGGTCAAGAAGAAAAGGTTTGTGAATTGCAAAAATCCATTTATGGACTAAAGCAGGCATCCAGATCATGGAATATCAGATTCGATGAGACTGTTAAAACTTATGGTTTTGTTCAGTCATTGGATGAGCCTTGTGTGTATAAGCTGATACAAGAAGGCAAAGTGGTTTTCTTAGTCTTATATGTGGATGACATACTACTCATTGGGAATGATGTAGGAAGACTGACTGAGGTTAAGCTCTGGCTGGCAAAGCAGTTTGACATGAAGGATCTAGGAGAAGCTGCCTATGTTCTAGGAATTCAAATCTTTCGAGTTCGGAAGAACAAACAATTGGCACTATCTCAAGCATCCTATATCGATAAGGTAATGGACCGATTCGCCATGCAAAACTCCAAGAAGGGTTATCTACCCTTCAGACATGGAGTATCCCTCTCAAAGGAGCAGTCTCCCAAGACTCCTCAAGAAGAGGAAGACATAAGCCGAGTTCCTTACGCTTCAGCCGTAGGAAGCCTCATGTATGCAATGCTTTGCACCAGACCTGATATATGCTACGCGGTAGGCGTGGTGAGTAGATTCCAGTCTAACCCTGGACCCGAGCACTGGGTTGCTGTCAAGCATATCCTCAAGTATCTTAGGAGAACAAGGAACTATATGCTTGTATATTCAGGTACTGACCTGACTATGACGGGATACACCGACTCCAACTTCCAATCGGACAAGGATTCCAGGAAATCCACTTCAGGATCAGTGTTTGTCCTGAATGGGGGTTCGGTGGTATGGAGGAGTATTAAGCAGACTTGCATAGCTGACTCCACCATGGAGGCCGAATATGTGGCAGCTTGTGAAGCTACAAAAGAGGCCGTATGGCTTAAGAAGTTCCTTCTATCACTGGAAATTGTTCCGGAAGCTGATAGGCCCATGGTACTGTATTACGATAACAGTGGGGCTGTCACAAACTCTAAGGAACCTACTTTAAGATATCAACACATGACAACTTGGCTGATCCATTCACAAAGGCTTTATCTGGTAAAGTCTTAGATAGCCATCTGGAGGGTTTGGGCATGCGAGATTGTACACACCTACTTTAAGTCCAAGTGGGAGTTTGTTGGAAATGTGTCCATAAAGTAGGATAAAATTTGTTATTTGTGAAATGACAAATGTCAGACATTATTGTTTCGCTGATTTTATAAAATAAAATAAAGTTATGTTTTGATACATATTCAAGAGTGTTAGTGATATTGCTTAGTCCATAGACTATTATCAACGAAAGAAGAGTCAGGGAATCCCTGCCGGACAAGCTCTTCTGATATAGTTTAAAATACATATTTGCAGTCTTAGGATTGATTGGGCAATCGGATCCGATTATGACTGTTAGATCGAACCATATGATGCTGGTCTCGGGGCATGGGAGTTGGACTCTGTGGTTGATCTAGACATGTTCACAACATGTTGAATAGACCATGTGACTGATTAGGTTAGAGTAAAAATCGTTTACTGAACTCTAAACCTAATTGTCACAACTTAAGTATATTTGTATAATTATCTCAATCCTGAAGTGAATACATAACTCGACTTAATTTCTCATGATTTTTGATTCACCAGTGAGATTAGTTTCACAGTTTTGAACAACATCTCGGCTATTGGGATCATGACAAAATTGAGTTGGAGTTATGTGATTCACAGATATGGAATTCGTAGGAAATAATATCACGTCATGCTTTATTGATGTGTGTGTGAATAAATAAACCAGGCCTGGTATTCAATGATGATATTCATTGATTAAGACATCGTGACATGTGCGAGACATCTTACGAATATATGTCTTTCTTATTCACAGTCAAATAAAGGAGTTGCGGAAATAATGATTGGAATGGTAAAACGGTAATATAATATACCATTCTGATCACTGATATTTACGAAAGATAATAATGCATTTATTCTGTGGACCGTGTGATAAATTGTATTAACACCATCAGAAAATAGCGCATATGAATCGAGAGATTATTCGGCATCGAACTTTTAGTGGAGTCGTGCGATGTCAGAATTAAATATGTCGATAACTTATCGGGATAGTCGAGTATTGTAATTCCATAGCTTTGTTCATGTGGGTCCATTCGGTCTCAAGGCTAGCTCTAATAAGTGAGAAAATAGAAACTGATATTTTGTTATATAATTATGTTTAAAAATTCATTGTGTTATTTTTCATTTATTTGATAATTGAAAAAAAAAAAGGAATGAATTTGAATTTTGAAATTAATAGTGATTAATTTAAAATTCAAAATAAAATTTAAACATGATTTTATTTGGCAACTAAAGGAGAGAGAAAGTTGATTTTATTTTGGAAAATTCAGAAATCCCTTGCCAAATGGGGAATTCGAATTTTGCTCCAAAAGAGAGAAGGAAAATTCAGAAATCCCCAGCCATATGGGAATTTCGGACTTTGATCCAAGAGAGAAGGGGAAATTCGAAAATCCCATCTAGGGTTTGAGTTTTTGAATTTCCTCCTATAAAAGGATTTTATTGAAAACCCTAGATATGAGTTTTTTATAATATGAAAAATCTCACACTTTTCTCTCCTAAGGGTGGCCGAAATTTTGAGACAAAATAGAAGGAAAAATTTATTTGATTCAATCATCACAAAGGTATGATTGTCATTTTGTTCCTTTGTCTATAAACATATATCATGCATGTATCTCTCGTTGTGGTTTACATTTAATTTAGAATTAAATAGATATGTTAAATTTTTTAAAATTCGGCCTACAAGTTTGTTGTTGTTCAAATGATTTTTCATTAAAAATCACAACTAGATCCTACAAAAAGTTGTCGCCGTTCCCATGCCAGTTGTAGATTGCGAAGAGGGCTTCGATATAACGGCTGACGGGCCTCGTTACGACACCAAAAGTTGTCACCGTTCCCGTGCCAGTCGTACATCGCGA